TGCACAGGAGAAGGCTGCCCATTTATTCCCCATGGAGCTGCTGGAGGATTAGAACCAACCTTTTGTGAGTTGGCACTGAAACTTCCTATTCACCAGGCCACCAGAACTACCTCATTATTTCCTAGGCTCATTCAATTTCTACTCATCCTTCAAGCCTCAGCTTAGACATCCTTACTCAAGGAACCATTTTCTTTTTTTTTTTTTAAGGAACCATTTTCTGACCTCATCCTACAAAGTTAGATCCCTTTATTATAAATTCTTTTTTTTAATTTAGTTTCATTGCTGAACATTTTGTTCCCTCTCCTCACCCACCCCACCCCACAATGCAGCCCTTATTCCAGATTTGTGTCATACATCATGCCTAATCATGTATTTCTTTCAGATTGTTCTTCCCCTCCTGTTTTAACGCAGTGTTCATTATCTATCCACTCTTTTCTCATTCTCTCCCCAGCCCCCATGGCGGTCCTATTTTGTAACAGTGGTGTTATGCACTGTTAGTCCTTATGTCACTCAGTATAATGTCCTCCAGGCTCCCCCACATTGTGTAATGCTTTATTGTTTTTCAGTGCTGCATAATCTTTCATTGTGTGAATGTACCATAGTTTTTCTATCCATGTGTTGATGGGCACTTGGATTGCTTTCATCACTTTGCTATTGTGAATAACACAGCAATAAACATGGCTGTGCATATATCTATTTGGGTGGCAGCTCTGGTTTCTTTAGGGTATATTTGCAGTGGTGAATTGCTGGGTCAAATGGTATTTCTATTTCCAACTTTTTGAGAAAGCACCGGATGCTTTCCATAGTGGTTGCACCATTTTGCCTTCCAACTAGCAGTAAGAGTTCTAGTCTCTCCACAATCTTACCAGTGTTCATTGTTTGCTGCCCTGTTGAACTTTGCTATGATGAGATATTTCTTAGTTGACTGGATTTGCATCTCTCTGATAGCCAGGGATTTTGAACATTTCTTGATGTGTTTGTTTGCAATCTGAACTATCCATCTTCTTTGGTGAAGTGTCTATTTATAACCTGTACTAATTTTGTGATTAGGTTGTTTACCTTTTTCTTGTTGAGATGCCGAAGTAGTCTATAAATTTTAGATTTATGTCCCTTTTAAATAGGTGATTGCTAAATGGATTTCTCCCACTCTGTGGGTTTTCTTTTTACCCTGTTAGAGAAGTTTTTTGATGTGCATAAGGAGTTGATTCTTAGAAGGTCCCATTCATTTATTTTATTCTCTTCTAGTTTTAGGTCCTTTATTATAAATTCTTTATTCAGTTCCCTTCTTTTCTATTATCTCTCAGAGTTTACCACAGTACTAGGCACAAAGAAGACACTCAAATTGTTTTACTAAGGAGTATATATTATCCTAATATATGTGCATGTGTCCTCATACTTTATATATAAATATAAAAACACATTCATGTTTATAAATTTCTTCTCTTTCTGAAGCTGTTTAAATATATAACACATATAGTGGTAAGTTACATAAATATAGTCATTCACATGACTATATACATATGTGTATAGTCACACATATATATACATATGTGCAGGGAACTCTGGTGGCTTAGAAGTAAAGCGCTGTGCTGCCAACCTGAAGGTATGTAGTTCAAATACACCAGTTGTTCTGCAGAAGAAATGTCAATAGTCACTCCCTATGAGATTTAATGCCTCTGAAAACCCACTTGGGGACTGACTATGAGTCAGTTCTAACTCATTGGTACACAAGAACAAGAACATACGTAAGTGCACATGCATGTGTATATGTATTCTTCTAACCACCTCAGTGATAGTACGACCTCCTGCAGAGAGTTGGGAATATGGCCCCAAGCTCACTCTAAGCTGACAGTCCAATAAAACTAAAAGATCATGACATTCCAAATGTCAGCAAACACTGAACTGTTCCACTCTGCCACAGGGAAAGTAAATGGAGGCAAGAGATGCAGAAACCTGGCCATTGCAAAATTGCTCTAACTTTATGCAAGCCACAACACCTCAGGAGAAATGTTCAGGAGAGGGCAGATAAAGACATCTGTCTTCTTCTCAGAGCCAAGGCCAGAAATGTGTTAGGGAATAGGGATGGAGAATTCATTCTCAGTTGTTCACTAACTGTGCAGGTCTGCTCTGTTATGGTAGCTGAGTACCTGAGACAAAAAAGATGGAAGCAGGAAGGACAGTCGGGAGGGTACCCTATAGAGAGTCATGAACTAGGTCACTCAGGAGAAAATAAAGTATGGACTAAGGCTTCATACTCTTACAACTTTGGCAATAACCTTTCTGCCTTGTTTTTATCACTACTTTTTAAAGGAAGTAGGAGTCTAGAGAGGTTGCCACCTGCCCAATCTCAGCATAACAGTCAGAAAGATTGCCATGGTCTGGGCCTCCAGGGTCTTACGGCTTCAGTGTCTTGATGGCTGCTGCCAATGACAGGCTGACATCCAGAGCTTAGCTCTCTCCTGCTAGGCCCAGAATAGGATGGTCTGAGGCCTCATGAATGCCTCCAACATGTTGTGCCTAGAAGACTAAGATTAGAGGTTAGAAAATTTGTTTTTCCCAAGTCTTTAAAGAGGCAATCACAAAACCAACTAGAGAAAGAATCTACAGCTCAGGATAGCCACTTCCTACCCCCAAGCCTCATCCTTTGGGTTCAACATCATCAAGGTGGCCGTAAGTAGCAATCTTATCACATGGGTCGGCTGCCTTCTTGCCTTTCTGCCAAGAAACCTAGAGGCAGGAAGCTATCTATACACCAAAAAGTCTAGTGAACTTCACGGAGCAATTGTTCATGGTCAGCGCCTGCCTCGCCTGGCCGGGCCTTCACATTGCATTTGCAGAGGCCAGTAAGCAGCCTGAGATGTGCTCTGACAGCTGGCACATTGTCTTCCATGAGTGAAGAACTAGCCACATACACATGTGGAGTCCTGCCTAAAAAAAGGCCTCCATGGAGCTGGTTCTCAAAGATGTGAGTTAGTCAGCAATTATTCTCTGTGCACATACTCTTATACCTAGCCCTGGTCATGCCACTGGGGTTGCTGGGAGGGACCAGACTCAGTCTCTGGCTCCAAATGGACATGTCTGGAGGAAAATAGACATTGTCTCAGTTTCAACACTAGCAGCACTAATATCCAAAATGCTGGGGAGTCTCAGGCCAGAGAAAGACTGATGAAATTCTTAGCATGAGTGATACCTGAACCAAACCTTCAAGGCAAGAGAATATACATGATGAAGATGACTTGGTGATATTTCAGAGAGAGGGAAAGAGAGAGCTAAGGCTCAAACTCACAAGACAAAGGTTAGCTGCTGCTCAGGTGAACAGGATCAGCAGCAGAGTCGAAATACAATCAAACTAGAGTATAAAGGACCTGTACACAGGCAAAGGCAAAGGGGTTCACAAATGCTACCCCAAAGAATGGTTACCTTAGAACAAAGTCCAAGGTCATTCTCGTGTGGCATAAATGCTTACAAAATGTCGTCTTCTACTGCTCCTTGGCATACCACCATCGCTCCCACCTCAACACACACCAAAACCATGATGCTTTCATTGCCTAGAAAGCATTCTCTGGTCTTCATAACTATATCATAGCTCGTCGTTCTTAAACGGCCCCTTCAATTTTACATCTTCAAGATACTAACACCCTTTTCCCCTGTAATGACCTTGCTCTTCTGAGTTCTATGGGAGTCACTCCCCATACCTACAGAAAGTTTTCCCTTCTCTAATCCTACAGGGAGTCACTAAGCTGACTGTGGCATGAGGTTCCTGAGGCTGTTCCAGGGCTGTTGCCCTTAAATCAGAATGATTTATGAGAGTAACTCTCCTCAGCACACTGGCGTCTGGGAATAAGAATCTTTTTAAAGCAAGAATCTAAGGAGTCTCCTTTCTGTCTGCTTATCTAAGAAGTATGGTACTTGTTAGGAAAGTAGAGCTTGCTGGGTGATGTATTTTCTGCTAGAGCTCTCATGACTTAGTGGCAAGGAGTTGCACTGCCAACCTAAAGGTACACAGTTCAAACCCACCAGCGGCTCTGTGGAAGAAAGACAAGCAATCTCCTCTTATGTGACTTACTGCCTCTGAAAACCTGCTGGAGGATCAGCTATGGGTTGGTTCCAACTTGACAGTACAAAACAACAGCCCTATATGGGGTCGTTTCTGGCCCCCAGGCCACTAGGTGCTGGGTGCTACAACAATGTCAGGCCCCTGTCTCAAAATCCAAATGTGACTGGGCTCCAGTCTCCATGCTCTTTCTTCAGATGAGCAAGGAAGACCCTCCTGGGGATAGGCAGGACCAGATCAGCTTGACTGAACTCCACCTCACAACCAGAGGGTGACAACTAGGTCTGACCAAGAGGGTCAGAGGCCACAATTCAGATCACCTCAAAAGAGGATACCTTCCCAGAGGCTCAGCCACTGCATATATTTCCTAGAGGCAATTCAGCTCTAAGTGAGAATGAAAAACAAACAAACAAATAAAAAAAACCAAACCCAACCAAAAAAAGCAAAGCCAACAATCAAAAGAGAGCACCAAAAACACCTCCTAGGCTGTGACCTCTCAGAATGCCTGGGTGTTCACCCAGCAGCCTAGAACTCAAGCAGCTCCCCATCCCTATAATAACCATTACCTTCTACATAGGGAAGAAGAATAAGAAACACTGTAAGTAGAGATTTCTATCCTTCCCATATTTCTGTTCCCTTCCTTCTTTCCCTTTCCCCTTTTGAACCTTTATGCACATCTTACTAATTATCTTTCTACTTTTACAATAATGGTCTTATGCAGTATTTGTCCTTCTGAGACCGAATTCATTCAATGCAAATGAAGCAGTGTATAAAACATGATGTACATGAATAGAACACAATGTTTTAAAAGTATTGTATGCGAACCAATAAACAAAAACAAAAGAATAGAAAGAACAAGGGAACAGAGATGAGAAAAGCAAGAAAAGGGACATAACAGGTACAGAAGAACCCAAAGAAAGCACCCCATGGGGTTCAAACACAATACCTTTTTCAGATTAATCCACTGCTTGAAGTAATCTGCTACTGGCAAGCCCAAATACTGGCACTGGCCTGGGAGCCTACAACAAAGGAGAGAGAACAAGTTGAGCACCTGTGTCCCAAGTATGGTATGGGAAGCTAGCAAATCTAACACTCTATTGGATAAACAGACTTTAAGAGACCAACACACTTGTAAAGGGTTTCACTCACTCAGGAAAAGGCATCCAGCACCCTGAACACTGGGGTCCAGAGACAACCCTCAAATGCAAATGTGACAACCTAGAGATTCTATTCAAAATAATGTCAACAAGTACTATTTTATGAAGGCCTATATTATGCTAAGGACTGTTACTTAGATTTCACGTTTAATTCCCAAAGTGAATTACACTATGGGGTAGGTATTGTTATTGACATTTTAAAGATAAGAAAATGAGATTCAGAGTTCCAAAGGATTACTTTAGGTTCCACAGCTAAGAAAATTATACTGCCAAGGATGATCCCAAGGTTGCAGAAGTCCAAAAGTGATACTCTTTGCAACGCATCCGTTTTGTATTGTTGTTTTGTTACAACAAAAAGGCAGAAGACGACAGGAAGAGAGAATAAGTACACGACATACAGAGAGCTGAGCAGGGGTTTAAGCTCACATTTAGTCTTTTAGTTAAAGACACTTTACAGGTAAAATGTACAAATGTCTCACCCCTTAAGCTGATGATATAGTTTCACCCATACAAATCCTTTCAACCAAACATTCTTTTGATACCTAGGCATCATGTGTAATGAACCAGGTTGCTAATCAAAAAGATGGCAGTCTGAATCCACTAGCTGTTCCATGAGAGAAAAATGGCCTGTCTCCTCTTGTAAAGATGTACAGCCTTGGGACTTGACGGAAGGTCACAATGAGTAAGAACCAACTCCACAGCAGAGAATATGAGTTATGTTTTGGTTTTTTTCAGATGAAGCTCAGGCAATTAAGACTATAAAAGTAAACATAATCGCAACTCATTCGGTGAATGGACAGTGAAGAAAGTAAGGTAAAACCAGCCTAGAGTTAAAGTATGGGAGTTTATATGAAAAGAATGGAGGAAAACAATACTAGAAATATCAACTGTAAGAACAGATCATAAGAGATTTTTCCAGCTGAGACGAATAGGTTATGGAACTCTCTATAGCGTTCGTAAAGAGTCATGACAGGGCCTTTTATTGAGTAAAGTCCATCTCTAGCATATTGTTGCTCTTGTTGTTATGTGCCATCAAGGAGTCTGTGACTCATAGCGACCTTATGTACAACAGCCCTAAACTCTGCCCTATTCTGTGCCAATCTCACCATCTCTGACATACCTGCCCCCAGTATTACCCTAGTCACTACATCAATCCATCTCATCTAGGGTCTTCCTCTCCTGCGCTGTCCCTCCACCCTCCCAAGCATGATGTCCCTTACCAAGGAATGGTCCTTGCAACATGTCCAAATTATATCAGACAAAGCTTCAGAATCCTTATCTCCAAGGAGCAGCCCAGCTTCACCCTCTCCAGGACAAGCCTGTTTGTTTTCCTAGCAGTCCATGGTATATTAAGTATTCTTCTCCAATACCACAGCTCAAAGGCATCAATTCTCCTTCTATCATCCCTAGCATCGTCCAGTCTCCGATGCATAGCAAGTGATTGCAAAGACCATGGCATGTATCAGGTGTACCTTAGTCTCCAGACTGACATCCTTGCACTTCAGCACTTTAGAGAGGTCTCTAACCACAGACTTTCCCATCGCAATACATCTTTTAATTTCCTGGCTGCTGGTGCCAAGAGTGTTGACTGTGGATCCAAGCAAACCAAAACTGTGAACAGTCTCAATCTCTTCACCATCCACCATGACGCTGCCAACTGGCCCAGTTGATACTGAGTCTCAATCCATATCGAAGGCTGCAGTCCCTAACCTTCCACAGCAAGTGCTTCAGGTCCTCTTCAGTTTCAGCAAGCAAGGTTGTGTCATCTGCATAACGAAGACTGTTGACGATTCTTCCTCCAATCCTGATGCCACATTTCTCCTCATAGAGCCCAGCCTCCCAGATAACCTGTTCTGCATAAAGATTGAAAAGGTATGGAGACAGGGTATAGCCCTGGCATACATCCTTCCCAATTCTGAACCATGCAGTGTTTCCTTGCTCTGTTCTGATGACTGCTTCCTAGTCCAAGTATAGGTTTCACATTAGCACAATCAAGTGTTCTGGGATTCCCATTCTTCTCAGAGTGAGCCATAGTTTGTTATGATCCACACAATCAAATGCCTTTGCATAATCAATGAAACAAAGACAGACATTCTTTTGTACTCCTTGCTTTCAGCCAAGATCCATCTAACATTACCTATAATATCCCTAGTACCACAGCCCCATCTAAATCCAGACTGCACTTCTGGTAGTTCTCTGTTGAAGTGCTGTTCCAGTCATTTTTGGATAATCTTCAGCAAAATCTTGCTTGCATGTGATATTAATGATATTGTTCGATAATTTCTACACTCTATGGGATCACCTTTCTTTGGAATGGGAACAAATATAAATCTCTTGCAGTCAGTTGGCCAAGTGGTTGTTCTCCAGATTTCTTGGCACAACTTGGTGAGCACATCTAAGGTAGCACCTGTTAACTGAAATATGTCAATTGGTATGCCATCAATTCCTGGGGCCTTATTCTTAGCCAATTCTTTCAAAGCAGTCTGAACTTCTTCCTTCATCACCACAGGCTCTTGCTCATATGTTGTTTCATTAAATTCTTCTGCCAATTCTTTCTGGTATAATGACTCTGTATACTCTTTCTCATAGCATTATCGAATACAAGGAATTGAATAATGCAATAGTAACCACTTCTAATTTTAGACACCTCTAGATCTTAGAAAGGTAATCCAAGAGAATGAAGAGATTACAGAACATATAACACATGCAAGTAAAATCTTGATGAAGATAATTTAAGAATGGTAATCAAAAGTATAATCTTAAAAGTACATCATTAGAGAACACAAACCACATTTCAACATAAAATAAAAACCTAAAAATATGTAACTGAACCTTATCAAAACAGGTGAAGGAAAATACAGTCAATACACCAAGAAAGAGAATGATTAGACATTGCAGATATTTAGTTAATCTGATAAAACAAAATGTGTATGAATTATTGAATAAAAAACAAACCTGTTTTGTAAAGGTACATTTAAATCATTTTTAGAAAAACCAAAATCGTCAAACAATTTTTGGAAAAACAAAAAGAAAACAAAAATCCTCACAACTAGATCAATAAAAACCATGGTAAATGGAGGAAATATTAAGGTTGTCAAAGATTTCATTTTCTTTGGATCCACAATCAATGCCAACAGAAGCAGCAATCAAGAATTTAAACTATGTGTGCAAATCTACTGTCAAGAAATTCTCCAGAGTGCTGAAGAATAAAGATTTCAGTTTCAAGATAGACCTGACCCAAGTCAGGTGTTTTCAATCACCTCATATTCATGTTAAAGTTGGACGACGAATAAGGAGGACCAAAGTTGAACTGATGCCTTTGAACTGCAGAGTTGGTAAAGAATGTTGTGTATACCATGGACTGTAGAAAACCAAGTATGTCTTGAAAGAAATACATCCAGGATGCTTCTTAGACTGGAGGTAGTGAAACTTTGTTTTATATGCTTTGTGCACAATATAAGGAGGGATTAGTACTCAAGAAAGACATGGTTGAGTAAATAGAGTGTCAGTGAAAAAAAAAAACAACAAAAAAACCACCAAACCTAAAAAACCTACTACCACAAAAAACACCTCCAAAAGACGGATTGACACAGTGGCTGTAAGAACAGGTTTAAAGCACAGAAAGGACTTTAAGAATAGATACAGGATCAGGCCATGCTTCATTCTGTTGTACACAGGGTCATTACAAGTCAGAGTTGACTTGATGACACTAACAACAATCACTGTGCTTAGACTATTCTTCTTTAAACGTGAAACTGTAACTTATCTCCCTGTAACATCTACTTATGGGTCCCAGGAATGTGTTTAGAAACTACAGAGAATGAGATTGTCACTGCCTCACTGTAGACCCCTTTTGCAACCAGAGAGCCCAGAAAGCTCTCCACAGGGTTCCCCTCTCCAGGCTATAACCCTCAGCTCCTTCAATAAAGCCTCTGGAGACATATGCAGTGAATCAGGACTTCCTCAATCCATCCCGTTCTCAGAGGGCAGGGCTTCTGGACTTTTATAAAAATGTCAGAAACCCAAGGTCACACACACTCTTTCAACCCCACTTCACATCATCTGTGGTCTACCTGAACTGTGACAAAAGCTAGCTTCCTCTTTCTAGAAGACAGATAACTGATTTTTTAGCTTAAAATGCAGGTTTTTAATGTCAAGTGCCATAGAGTAGTCAAGTAAGATGAGAGCTGACAAAATCTCAATGGATTTGATAATTAGGAAGTGACAAGTGACCTTGATGAAAACAGTGTCAATGGGCTAGTGAGAATAGAAGCCAGTCTGGAATGTGCTGAAGAGTCAGAGGTACAAAAGACTACAAGCACAAAACCCTTTTCTAGGCAGCTTGACTATGAGGACCTAGAAAAGATGACTGATTCCACTTTAAAAAATTTGTAGCAGTTTAACCTTCCATTATTTGAATACTAAGGAAGATAAACAGATGGACTGACACAGTGACTGCAGCAATGGGCTCAAGTGCGTCAGAGATGTTGAGGATGGCACAAGATATAGATCAGGGGACTCAAATCAACAGCACCTAACAACAGGAAGCTCATACTGCAGGTTTCAGTCAGTTTAGTCAGTTTCATTCCCTATTGTGGAGTCAGTTGCAACTCACAGTGACCCTCCACTGGGTTATCCAAGGCTGCAAACTGCAACAGGAGACTGTGCATCTTTCTCCTACGGAGCCACCAGTATCTGAACCACTAAGTCAGGTAGCCTTTGTGTGAGCATCTGCTACACAGACTACACCATCAGAGTTCCCTATAGTTGGAATAGTAAGAGTTTCTAAGACCGGGAGGAAGGCTCCTCTTAAAATATATGGGCACAGTAGCATTAACTACAACCGGTCAATTTCTTGCCAC